CACACAAATGCATGCACAAGTAAAAGGAAAATAAATTAATATATATTGAATAAACTGTAAATTTTAAATTATTTCTTCAAATATGTAGACTGATTTATTGGAAGCTGAAAAAATAAATATGAAAGTCAWTGAAAATATAAAACAGGAGATAAAGTTCTCCTTTATTACTTTAATTTGTGCATTTTAAGTGTATTTATTTAGTGGTTCATATAATTCTGCTTTTATTTCTAATGATGTCAGTTTTGGTCCTCCGTACTGCAGAAGTCTGATAATCATCCATTCATTCACTCATACCAGGTGTGTTGGAGCAGAGAAACAAGTAAAACATGCAGGGCTACGGTCCTCAAGGACTAGGATTGCCCATGTCTGATTTCAGTGGCTCAAAAGTAATTGGACAGATTAAATAATTGTAAATAAAATGTACATTTCTTGTACTTTGTTGAAAACCCTTTGTTGGCACTGACTGCCTGAAGTCTTGAATGTCTCCAGACGCTGTGGTTCCTCCTTTTCAGTGCTCTGCCAGGCCTTCACTGTGGTGGTTTTCAGTTGCTGCTTTTTTGTGGGCCTTTCTGTCTGAAGTTTAGTCTTTAACAAGTGAAATGCTGCTCAATTCCAAGATCAACCTCTACCAGAATAATAGAAAGAGAAAAGTCTGGTGAACGAGTGGTACAGCTCATGATCCAAAACACCACATCATGTGTAAAACGCAGCAGAGCAGTGTGATGCTTGGGCATGCATGGCTGCCAGTGGCACTGGGTCAGTAGTGTTTATTGATGATGTGACACAGGACAGAAGCAGCCCAATGAATTCTGAGGTATTCAGAGCCAAACTGTGTGCTCAGATCAGACAAATGCAGCCAAACTGATTGGTTGTTGTTTCATACTACAGATGGAAAATGACCCAAAACATAAAGCCAAAGCAACCCAGGAGTTTATTAAAGCAAAGAAGTGGAATATTCTTGAATGGCCAAAGTCAGTCACCTGATCTCAACCATCTGTCCAAAGAATGTTCTTCCAGAACTCTGCTGCTTTTTAGATGTTTTTTTTTTTTTTTGCAAAGTCCAGTCTAGCCTTTTTATATTCTTGATGCTTATGAGTGTCTTGCAGCATGCAGTGAACCCTCTGTATTTACTTTCATACAGTCTTCTCTTTATGGTAGATTTGGATGTTGATACTTCTACCTCCTGGAGAGTGTTGTTCACTTGGTTGGCTGTTGTGAAGGGCTTTCTCTTCACCATGGAGATTATTCTGCCATCATCCACCACTGGTTGTCTTCCATGTGCGTCCAAGTCTTTTTGCATTGATGAGTTCACCAGTGCTTTCTTTCTTTCTTTCTTTCTCAGGATGGACCAAACTGTAGATTTTGCCTCTCCTAATACTGTAGCAATTTCTCAGATGGGTTTTTTCTGTTTTTGCAGCTTAAGGATGGCTTGTTTCACCTGCTTGGAGAGTAGGGTTGTAGGAAATATCGATACACCGATATATATCTATATTTCATTTCCTGATACTGTATCGATTTTCTAAAGCCCTGTATCGATTTTTAATTAAAGTTTAAAATGTCAACTTTCCTGCCAACGGATCATTTTTATGTTGAAGTTCAGCCCCTGACCGCTAGTTGGCAGCAGTGAGCCAGCCATTTGGCTCCTCTACTCCTAAGGAGCCAGAGAGTAACGGTAGCATTAGCGTAGTGAGTAAACATTAGCTTCATGCACTGATAGCTGAATCTGAGCAGAAAAGATTGACACCCTCTGCTTCATAAGGGCACACTTCAGTCAGAGAGGCAGATCCGACCATTTTCACAGCGCTTCTGATGAATTTCTTGGTAAAAGGACTCACATAATTTTGTCAAGGTAACTTTCAGTTTAATCATCAGCTGCTGTTTAAAAAAAACTCTAAAATGAATAAATAAATAAAAACCTTGGCTTTTTTAAATCACAGAATGAGTCCTTATCAGTCCTTTTCCAGCTTTTCTCATGTCCTCTTTAGCCTCACTATTTATCAGTCAGCCACCAAACACTGTCTTCCAACACATTGTGTGTATTTCTATTTTTTTTATTGCTGATACAAGAACCAAATACTTCAGTTGTTAAAAATAATTTGTTCAATTAATTCAATCCAAGTCTATGGAACAGTCACAAAATGTCACCAAAATCACTCTGTCCCTCTAAAATTGTTCAGAAAATCGAATCGTATCGTTCGCTGAATATCGTGATATATATCGTATCATGAGCAGAATATCCAGTATCGTATCGTGAGATTAGTTTATTGCTACAGCCCTAATGGAGAGCTCCTTTCACCGCATGTTTACTTCACAGCAAAACCTTCCAAATGCAAGGAGCACACCTAAAATCAACTCCAGGTCTTTTATCTGCTTCATTGAGAATGACATAACGAAGGGATTGTCCACACCTGTCCATGAAATAGCCTTGGAGTTAATTGTCCAGTTACTTTTGGTCCCTGTAAAAACAGGGTGGTACATGTTAAAGAGCTGAAACTCCTAAACCCTTCATTTTTAAAGTGGATACCCTCAAATGAAAGCTGAATGTCTGGACTTTATGTCCATGTACATTATATAACTATAACTTGAATATGTTTCAGTAAACAGGTAAAAAGACTAAATTTGTGTCAGTGTCCAAATATATATGGACCTAACTGTATGTGGAGGTGCACGGGAGAGGGGTCATGGGGGAATGTCTGCTGCTACACAGGATCAGAGAAAACCTCCACTTATATCTCATGTGACTTTAAAAAAAGCCTCTAATGTTCAGCAAACTGTTCAAAAAAGGAAGTTTGTTACATTCACATCTTTTTTAGTGAGTTTGATTAGATTTGAGTACCAAACAGAAGTGAAATGTTATGTCTTTGGACATGTTTTGATCCAGCTGTCATAAACATATCTTAACCAGTGGCTTTGTGTTGTATTAATGTAAGTAGGTTAGTGCTTCATTTTCCCCTTCCTGCATGAAGATTGGTCTCTGTATGTAGCACTGAAGATTCCATGGCAAATCTGTGCTGCTGTTGAAACTTAATATTTGAAATAGTTTTATAAACTAAAAGTCTAAGGCATCCAACCAACGCAGTTTTGACTTTTCTCCGAGTGGATTCATAACCATTCACATTGGTAGATGTGATTAAATGTGTTGCAGAATACCCTTTTTACCCCAGTTCACTTCTGTTCTCAAACACTTGAAAACATTTTGATGAATTTTAACTTAATTTGACATAGATTGCAATGATGTACATTGCATTTGGTACAAGGCACTTAAACCTTATTGGAATCTAACTAAATTAACTGTGTTTTAATTGCAAAACTGTTGGTGTCTTCATGTAATGCAGCCAAAGTGAAGTTAATTAAGTTAGCTGACCCGTTCCTGCATATTCATTAGTTAAAACCCCCAGTAGAGTTTCAGGTCTTGTACTGAGAGCTATTTGGTTTCCATATAACTGGAATGAATGTGTGATTTGTGTCTCTAGTAATAAATCAAACATATTTCCAGTGTGTTTTGGACTATGCCATGGTTGGCCTTTTCAGTAATTTTTTAAACTTTGCAAACAGAATTTGTATTTAAAGCTAAGGAGCAGATTGTCTCCAGTTTGGATGGCTTCAGACTGTATCACTGCTTTCTGAGGTTGGTTCTGTATTGTTGGCTTCATTGAGCTGGGACTTCCAGGAATCCCTTTGCAACTGAGTGTGAACCAATTGGGATAAGAATTAGCAACCCCAAGTCTGAAGATGTGGTCCTCCATTGGAAAAGCTGGATTCCCATTCCAGTCTGAGAAAGATATGCTGCTCCACAAAGAAGGGCTCCAGTACGACTGGGTCTTACTCATCAATGGACGTTGACTGGAACAGGAGAGGAATGGCAGACTGGAACAGTGCATTGATGCAGATGCTGTATTCATGTGTTGTGGTGAAAAGAGAGCTGAGCAGAAAGCTAAAGCTCTCAAGTTATCTTAAATCAGTGTGAGGGTTTCTGGCTCACTTAAAGACCCACAAGTCCTCCACCAAAACTAATGACCTGTTGCCCCAATAACCTAATCTTAGATCAGTGGCAGAAGACTGATACCAAAAGACCATTGGCTTTTTAATCATCCAAAGTGTGTTGGGTTGTGAGTTAGAGTATTTTATAGTAAAAACTGAAAAAAATGCTTTGGTTTGCAGCTTAGCTAACCCTGTATATGGCTTTTGTCAATAAATACTACTGGAATTGCATGATAGGTTTGTGTTCTACACCTTCCTAAAAACTTGAAGAACAACACTGATAGAAATCACAAAAGTCATGTAGTCCTTTTGTAAATTTGACATTGAATATCTGAACACCAGAGAAAATTTCCTAATTGAGACAGCCCAATTTGAATGTCTTTGTATTAACACAGGATTTGGGCACAAAAAACATTGTGTTTTCATGTTCTGTAAAACCATAGCACAAAATCTCACTGTAGGCTTCACTTTTCCACAACAAACATTCATCCAAGAATACACTGGGAACAGTGTAGGAGTTAGGGTTTATCTTCTGAACATTTTGTGACCTGGGGAAGGGACGGAGCTGCCAATCCACAGTTTTAATGTTTCACTACAACCACTTCTAATAAAGGTAGTATGTCACAGGGCTGTGTCTGTTGGAGATTCATTTGTGGCTTAAAGTTATGAGACAAAAAGCTAATTTTCAGTTGTGGTCTTGTTGATTTCCCGGTGTTTGCTTCCAAGCTACCAACCAGCACGTTGTGAGAGTGCAAAACACAGCTAGTTTTAGAAAATCATGGCTAATTTTTTATGACTCCGCCCACTTGCCCAACAGGCTCAGCCCAATGAGATACAACTGTAATTATCTCATATTTTCACTTTTTCTGCCTTTCTTTTCTTGCTGTGTCTTGTTCTGTTTGGGGCCTTTTTCTTTTTAATATGAAAATCTGTTAACTGCTTCACTTCTCAGTTTCTGTTGCACTGTCAGCAGGTTCCTCAGTAATGTTAAAATGATGCCTTTGTCTGTCTGTTTGTAGGATTTTGATTGGTCCCATCACTGACCAGATCTGCTGTTGGTGACCAGGACCAGCAGACGTCTCTTTCAAGCGACAAACAGAAAGTCTCTGTCTTTTCTTCCATCATAAGTATCTATGTAATGGAAATATATAGATTTACACAAGGCTTTGCCAGCTGTGCCGTCTATATTTTCCTGTGTATAAATCATAAAATTCCACTTGGGATAATGTGTGGGGTTTATTATTTGGGTTTTCTTTGTTGTTGTTGTTGTCCTTTTTTAAAAGGGTGGGGGAAGCTGTAGATGTCACCCCCAATTACACACACACACACACACCTTTCCCCATCTATGTATGTCCATTTATTTAATTTAAAATTTTTTAGGGATTGGTTAAGAATAGTAAGCTGACCTGTATTTTTATTTCCCTCTCAGTGGTTTAAATCATCCCTGTCGCTCCTTACTTATTTTACTCCTTTCTTTACCAAACAATTGGGGAAACATGTAAACTTAAAACTTGTTATTTTTGTTCTTTAATTAAAAGATGAAATCTTGGATGTTTATTTACAAAAGCATTTGATTTTTGTTTGCTTTTCTTCCTGTTTTCCTATGGTGATCAAAAGGTTGCCAGTTGATAATATAAGGAGGAAATTGGCAGTAATTGATCGTAGGATACTTCTGCTCTCTCCCTATCTCTAGAATTATTAAATCTGTTGTAAAATGGTCTTCTCCAGAAATGCCAATAAAAAAACATTACTTAACTCTGACAGTCGAATACGATTTATTATCCACGACCTACACAAACACGTTCTCAGGATTCCTGCCATGTCTTAAAAATGTGGAGTTTAATTGGAGCATTTTTCAGGTTTGTGGGAGGTATCTGGGCGTTACTGTTTCCAGATTATTGTCTGGAAACAGTAACGCTCTGAATCTGTTGCTTCATCTTAAAATAATCTCTTTAAGTTGCTCTAACTAGCAGGTTGTTTCCCCACATTGGGTAAAAAAAGATTTATTTATTTATTTCCCATTATTTAATCAGGCAAGTCCTGTTGAGACCTCAGATCTCTTTTTCAAGGGTGTCCCGGGCCTGAAGGCAACATGTTGTACATGTTTTTAGATGAACATGGTAAAAATAACAACTACTGGAAATTTTAACTAGCAGATAAATTTGTTGTGAGATGCTCCAACTATACTTTCTGTTATACAAAAACAAAAAGTTGATTTGTTTTAAAATAGACCTAAGTGTAAAATCTTGAAAAACAACTTTTTGTAACATTGATTTTAATAACTATTTAAATGTAATTTTATTATCACAGCTTACAGACATTACTCTTGATTTTCAATTCATGATCATGTTGATTAATTAATATAAACTTAAGACTTTGCATCAGAACTTCTTTAGTGTCGATCTGTTAATGCTTGAATAATTTTTGCTGTGTTTCATTTTAAATAGACCAATAACACAAAGCATCTGTTAATGTTACCACTTTAATTTGTAACTGGCTCTGTTTCCATAATTCAGTGTCATATTGAGAACAACCTTCTGATCAATGTATTGAAAAAAATATCTTAAAATATCCATTTATAAAGCAAGACTAATGACTAGGACCGAGGTTGTACAAAGGTGTGCAGCGCCTCCTGGTGGATCCCAGGGACTTAAAAATGTAAAATGTTTTGTAATTCTGGTATATTAAACCAGTGTTTCCCAAAGTTGGGGTCGGGACCCAAAGTGGGGTCCCGAAACATCAAGGTGGGGTCCTGAAAAGATTTTCTGAATTAATTACATTTTTGCCTTAGTTGTTATAAAGGAGTGAGGTTAGTGTATTTAAAATGGATAAATGTAGGATAAAAATATTGTTACTATGCCCATGTTTAGTTGACCTGATACAAATGTTCATCATCCAAAAACAGTTGGGGGCACAGGTCTCTGCTACTGTTATTTTGTGGGTCAAAAGCTGAAAAGTTTGGGAACCACTGCACTTTGGTTCCCA